GCAAAGACCCGGTTCCACACCTGAGGGTCTGTACGAAGGATATGATGCAGACGCTGCAGCTCTTCAACAGTGAAAGGCGAAGCTTGCTTCCTCGCCCGAAACTCCTTGAGCCTCGCGCTGCCATGACATCTCATACTCTCGCCTAAGGGCGCCAGCTCGGTTATGCCCAGAACAAACCTGGTGAAGGTAATGGCCTCAAGGAGCGCTTTCCTGGTGGACGCGGGCTTGCACTCTTCCCTCAGAAGACAAAGGTAACCGTAGAAAACAGCCTCTGTCCCAGGGAAAGGCGTACTCCTATCACGAAGATATCCATCATATCCCAGAATGGACCGGTATCGCTTGCGAAGTGTCTTTGGGGCCTTATGACCAAGCAAGTCTTCGATCATACTCGCTCGTGAATCATGCGACAGACGCAGAAGCTGGCCAACCACCACAATGTGAGCCGGCCACGTCAAAATGAGGGCCAGCCACAGTGCTAAAGCTTCTGATCTCTCTTTGCCCCTCTTCTGCTTCCAAGTAAGGACTTCACGGTCCCTTACCGCATTCAAGAAAGACTGAGAACCATCTGCAGCCCCTAAAGACAATCCGCCTGGCCGTTGAACCTTGAGCGGTGGCATCTCGGAACCATCCACCACTGGAGCCTCTGGCCTTTTAAAGACTGTTCCATATGCACCATCGAAAGCATCTCTGGGACTGTCAAAAATGCAAGCCCAAAAACCTTCCTCCCAACAGTGCTTCAGCCCGGCCGATGGCAAGCTCTGGTGTGCAAAGGCAATAGCAGGCCCAACATCTGCCGGCCCCGAAGAAGAGCTCGCCCCGCTCAAGGTTCCAAGCAAAGACCCGCCTGCAGGTGGCCGACCGTCCGGGCTATCACTCCTGGACATTCCCAGACGAACGGGTTTCAAGCCTGTGGCGGGGCCGACTTCTGATTCGGCAGCATTGCTAGCAAGAGATGGCGCAGAAGCAAAGCCAGCATACCATTGTCTCTCACTATCACTCGCATGCACTGAAGAAGCCCGCTCCCCCACATCTGCATCCCCATCCGGATCATAACTGCAACTGTAAGGTGATGGTATTTCAGCAGTGATATCCAAAGAGGGTTGCCTCAAGCCAGCTGAACTGGCCTCATCCCCCATTTCCAAAAACAGCTGGTCAAGGCAAGCAGATCACGGTTCAAGTTCCGTTGGCCCCGAGTCCTCGCTGAATGTGCGGAACAGCCGCCGCAGCCCTCGGAGCAGATACTCCAACACGCGAACACGAGTGGAGAGCTGACGCTCCTGGTCCTCCAAGACCTCAATTCGGGCCTGTTGATGCTGCAGGCGGCCCGCAAGATACTGCACGGACTCTTGCAGACTCTGGATGCTCGTAGCGGAGCACGAGGAACGGGGAGAGCTGTCCATGGCCACAGCTAGCTACAAAAGCTAATCGAGAGATTTCTCTCGACCCACCCACCATCCCACTCGAGGCGAGCGAGGGTATAAAAGATTCTCATGTCCAACAACACATTGTTGAAACATGAAAACTGAATGCAATCATGAAAAACGTGGGAAAACAACATGCCACTAATTTTTCCAAGAGAAAAATTTCCACAAAAAGAATAAAGCGATCATCCCTACCGGGAGAATGTACATGAATTCGCACATCGCCGTAGCGAGTGTGCCCACTGAGCCCACCGATGGTGGGACATCAAATCACAATTCCATCTCCGATTCAAGCTTCTCGGACGATGGCACATCACCCCCAGCCTTAGCCACTCGTGCGAGACGTCGAAAGTCAATGGAGATCCTGGCTCCCCACTCTGTCTTCGAAATTCCCCTTGATGGATAATCGGCTAAGTTCGAGCTCGTATTTACGCGCTCGAACCAAGGATTGATGAAGCAGTCGTCCAGCAAAGCATGCGTTGCACTCACCATGCGGCTGCCAGCGTCATTCTCGCTCCTGCCGTTGACCATGGAATGCAATGCTCCTTCATTGTCTGTGAAAACAATCAAGTGGCAATACCTGAAAAGCTGAGCCCAAACATGTATGCCACACCAAATCGCAAAGCACTCAAGCTCGAAGATGGGGTTTTCGCTCCCAGCTGCATTCAAGTCTGTCAATGTGGCCTCGTCAAGATATTCACTGAAATGTCCAATGAAAGCACCAGACTCAGAAATCAAGATGCCACCAATGCCAGCTCGCGAATCATCATTGGATGCGTCGACATATAGATGCCAAGTAAAGCAAGAAAGGTCAGCTATGCAGCGGGCTGGAGCACAGGCGACATGCTGCTTAAGGAAACCGAGGGCATCTAGGGTACCGGGACCTAACTTACCCCCACCTTTCGCAACGTGCCTTGAGAGCTCCTTGAAGGCCAGCCCCGCCCGCTTTCCAGAGATCTGCTGCTCTGCGAATTGTAGTCTTCCCCTCAATCGCTCGCCGTCCTTGCGACTTAAGAACGAAGACAGCAAGACCTCCTCGATGAAGCCAACCAGCTCATCTCGCCGGTGCTCGGTATTCTCGAAGTAGATGAGGCCCAAGCCAGACTCCTTCAAGTTGATTTTTAAACCCAGCACCTTCGCAATGGGATCAAATGTCGAAGCTTTGTCTGATGATGTGGTCCATCCCAAAATCATGAAAAGGCAATCTGCGCACAGCTCGAAAAGCTTGGACAAGCATGGCACTTCTGATCCCACAAAATCATCAAAATACACCCCCCAGCGTAGCAAGAAAACGCAGACTCCAATAATCCATATTCCAAGCGATGTTCTGCAAAAGGAGTGCACGCTGGATCGTGCTCCAAAAGGCAGGACACGTTGTCCATATATTTCGGTGATTTGGGAATCTGGGTTCCATACTGCCAAGTACCCGTCAGAGATGGATTCAGGGTGCAATGCCAGATTTTTGTAAGCTTTTGCCAAGTCCCAAGCGCGTGTGGTCAAATTCGAAGGTTTCCGAAGAACCCGCAACTTGTGGATGCGATAAGACAAAGCAGCAGCAAGGACATCCGCCGTGTGGACAGTTATCGTGTCGCTGGCGCTGGCAGTCGCGTTCACGCCCGACTCCAAATAATTATCTATTGGACGGCATTTGCCCCCCTGTCGGATCCCAAACCGCCTTGTGACCACTGCTTCAGCTGGTAGATCCTTCTCATCCACCGGCCCAAAAAGCCAGCCACGCCGAAGCTCGTCGGCTGTAGCCTCGTAGGTGGCTTTGTCAAGTTCAAGGTCTCCTGAGCCCTTAGTTGAATGTGTGATCCCACGCCTGAGCACTTGTGCCGATCGCCTCAAAGTAGCAGTGCTGAGCGTCGCCGAAGTTCTTTTAACCCTGTACACCCCAGAGGCTGGGATGGGGCCGCTAAGCTTAAAGCCCTCAGCAATGTCACCCACTATGGACTTGTCCTGGTGACCACTCGCCTCGAGGAGTTCCTTGAAGACAGCCAATCGCTTACTCCGAAGAACCCTAGCGCAATTTTCATTCATGCGCCGCTTTATCTCATTTTCAACCGGCTCAAGTTCCCGAACTTTACTTACCCACTTCCTAAGTTGTTCTGTCCTCTCAGCCCCAACCTCGGAAGGGGTGGAAGATGCAAGCTTGTCAATGGTATTTTTAAGCTCAATGGGAACCCCGGAAATGAAATGCCTGGGATGGGTCGCTTCAAGGGCCTTGGCTATGAACTCGTCGGGTGTCCAAGGGATGCCTACCACAACCCTATGAAGAACCTGCTCCTCGGGCCCGGCCGGTGAGGATAGCTCGCTCGCTGAAGAAGTTTGGGGGACAGCTTCCGGGGGCAGGTTGAAACCAAGGTTCTCAAGGCTGTCAGACACGCTCTGAGGTATCAAATCAGGACCCTTGACAACAAATCCTACAAGCACAACCCTAGAGCCCCCGGTCCAAGGACACGTACAATGTTTCATGTGTGAATCAAATCTGATCACGTCATTCTCAAATTGTACTCTCGTACCTGTAAGATGCGAGAATTCCTCATCGGGGCAAGGGTCGCTGCCTGTGTCAGTTTGCAGCCAAAATTCTCCAGAATCGAAGTTGGAAACCTTTATTATAACCAAAAGGCTTCATGTTCCAATCAATATGATCTTCATTGAAAAGTATCTTCCACATCTTCAAACATATATGTATGTATAACCAAAATGGGGCCTGCTAGAGAGCTTAGGAAGTGCCTCATGCGAAATCGTGAGAGCTTGCATTCACAGCGGACCCATCTTTTTCTTCTGAAGTGGCAAAGCCTCTCGGGGTAAAAGACGAAGCGCGGATCCCCGTCGGGATCCACCTCATTTGACCCTTCGGTCAAACCGCCCCTTCGGGCACAAGACGGGCACCTTCGCCCCACTTCACCTTCGCCCCGTCTGTAGCAAAGCTTTGCCACTAATGAAGCACTGGAGAACATCTTGATGAAACGATCCGAAGACAGGAAACCTCCATTCTGATCTCGATGGGCCATCGCTACGGTTTGATTTGCTCGGTACCCGAGCGAACCATGGGATCGTCGGGCCTTCAGCATCGAAGTGCTCGTAGTGGAGAAGAAGGCTGCGCCAAACATCGTCACGCGAAGATCCCTTTATCATCGCCGACAAGACTCCACTATGATCAACGAAAAAGATGGCCCGCTCGTTGTCCAAGAACTTTTTCCAAACCCCACGAGCAGCAACTACAGCGTAAAGTTCGGTGGGTCCGATGAGGTGTGGCTTGCCAGCCCCAGCCCATGTGGACACCACAGCTTCATCAAGGTCGCAGCCGGACGCCCTCGTCTCGTAAGCTCCACTTGAAAGGACGCGATAAAGCACTCCACCAATCGCACAGCTGAAGCCGTTGTCATTCTTGTCGCATGCACCGTCGGTGAACACATAAGTCCTGCCTCCCTCCAGACGAACGGGAATCTCACGAGGTCGGCCACTGAGCATCCGGGCACGAAGATTCTCGAAAGCCGAAATTTCCAAAGGAGTGAGAACATGCTTGTGGCGTGCCTCGGCGAGCTTTCTGATCTGAGCAAGTGCCAGCCTGCCTTGGCGACCCATAAGCTGAGATTCAGAAAACTGTATGCGCCCGAAAAGCGAAGGTATCTGGCGTGGATCAATGCAACCATCCTCGAGCACCTGCTGGATCGAAGATGCGATGTCGCGAGCCCGTTCTCGCTTGTTCATGACCCTGACCACGCCACGAGACATATCCGAAGCATCCAAAGTCACCCCCAGAACATCTGCCTGTTGGGCAAATGGCAAGTCTTTGTCATCCGCCCAGTCGACCCCAAAAAGGTGCAAAGCCGCCTTAACAGAAGCGTCACGATTGCTCGCCAGGGCCCTGACCTCTGCAGCCGGGAAGTCGTCGAAATAACTCGATGCCGCCAGCTTGAGTTCCCAAAGAATCCTTTGCCAAAGTCGAGAGAAACGATTGAACTGCCCGACAGAAGCAAGAGCTCCAAAAGGGAGCACGCGGCAGACGAAGCCCTTGGCCTTGCCGTCAGATGGATCTTTAAGCGTAACCACGCACACCCGCTGCTGCTGAGGGCATATTGCAAACTGCTTGTAAGCGGCACGCAAGTCAGTCGTCTTGACCACAGGCTCGCACCTGGTCTTGTCCTGTGCCCTGTATGCATGCAGTGGGCCCGAAACCGTAGAACCATCAGACTTCCTGAAGAAGATCTCGCCCTTCGAGATGCATGCCCTCATGATGGCCACGCACGCCCATGTGAGCTCATCAAGCGCCCTGAGGCTTATCCTTTCCATCACGGACCAGGCCTGGTTAACGGCATTCTTTTCACAAGCAGCGGCCCCTGTGGTNNTGGTCGCCTAGCTCAGGCTCTACAGGTTTTCAACCCGGTGTCTCGGAGGACACTTAGCCCCTGGCACTGGTAGCCAGTGCAAAAGTGCATGCCCGGCACGAATGCCCAAGCGACATGCGCACGGTAACTGAAACTAGAACTAGAACTACCAAAAGTGTGAACTAAAAAGTTGGCGAGACAGAGTCAGAGTGGCCAACATGTCCAACGTGCCTAAAGCACGTGACAAGTGGCAGCAGGGCTACACCTACACCTACTCCTAGAGCCGTCCGACACCGTGGATGCAAAGGGCGTCCCCTCAGACATCCAGCAGAGAATGCACCCGTCCGTAGCACCGAGGTGCCCGACAACAAGC